GGAGCTGAAAGCTACAGTGTGAATGCTGAGTGGAGTTACGATCCTTGCAAAACAGTGAACAGAAGGGGTGCTCACAGATGGCCCTGGCAGAAGCTGGCGATCCTCGGCAATCAGGAGCGAGGACTTGGCTGATCACCCTGGCGTTTTTCTTGCCGTTCACCTAAGATGAGTCTGGCCACAGGGTGTGAGGGGAAACAAAGATTTTTCAAGAAGATCTTTGGCAGAAAAAGGTCCTTGTGCAAGTGCTGGCTGGTGGACAGTGTAACAAGCCCTAAGACTATTTGCCTGGTGGGGTTTTTTAAATTTAAATTTTTAAAATTTTATTTTAGCTCATTAGTACATGTGTGCAGTATGTAATGTTTGCATCCCTTGTGGGGAGTTGGACAGGAACATAACACATCTCAATTCCCTTCTCACCCCTTCCTCCTCTACCTCCCCCTTGGGTACTGTAGTAGTCATCTGTCCATTGCTGAGACAAAATACCTGCCCCTAGCAATTTAAAGGAGAGAAGGGTTATTTTGGCTTATAGTTTCATCTGTGGCTGAAAGCTCTCAAGGGCCTCAGAGACTCAGGCAATGCTTATCTCTGCAGCCACATTCAGAATTAATGAATTTGGTGACAGGCAAGATGGCTTTGACAGTCCATGGTTCCATCAGCAGGAAGAACGACGTTGTTGGTGGACTTGGGAGAAGGTCTATATCCGTCACTTCCATGGGATTTGGCAAGCCAGCCATGCCCTGTTTGCTACCACTGCCTTTGATCATTCTATGCAGAGGTTTTTCTGGGCAGAGGGGCCCAGAAGAGCCAGTGAAAAGCGGGTAGATGAATGATCATTTTGGAGCAGTGCAAAACTTCTGGATATGGGTAACAGTGATGGTTACACAGTAGTGTGCATGTACGTTAATGCCACTGAGCTCTACACTTAAAAATGGTTAGAACAGTAGATTTTATGTTATGTGAATTTGACCCCAAATAGAAAAACTTTTAAAGTGTGAAGAAGAGCAGTATACACAAATCACTCGTAAATGGTAGGATTCAATTTTACAGAGCACCATGGACCCCCAGGAACTGTGCTAAGAATTTGATCATTTTCTTTGTAAACCTCATAATGTCCACAGGTGGGTGCCCCATTTTGTAGCAGAATGAACAGACTGAGACTGGGCCCAACTTGTTCAGAATTCTTCAGTAAGCGGGACGTCTGCTGTTCGACTCCCGCCTTTCTGAGTTTTGTTTGCCATAGGTATGGGTCCAATGGGAAGCTGAGAAAACTGGGGCCAACTGAGTTTGGTTTTTGCTCAGAGGTCTTTCACCTTGGTCTGTTTGGGTTACTGTGACAAGATGCCCTAAGCAGGTAGTTTATAAAAATCATTATTTCCCTGGTTCTGGAGGCTGAAGTCTAACATCAAGGGAGATTTGGTGTCTGAGAGCTTGTTCCAGTTCAGAGCCAGCTGTCTTCTCACTGTGTCTCCACATGGTGGGAGGGAGGGAGACTCTGTTTTGGGCCTTTGAAGAAAGGGCACTAACCTCATTCTTGAGAGTTCTGTCCCCATAAGCTAATCCCCTCCCAAAGGCCCACCTTCTGCCACCTCCTTCTCAGCATGTGAATTTTTGGGACACGAACATTCAGACCGTAGCAGCCGTTGTCACTTGCTGTGTCTTGTCCCCGGTCGTTGTTTGTCTCCTTGGCAGGGGGAGGGAGGACCTGCTGCCACCTAGACACTGGGTGAGCATAGATGGTGCCTGGCCTTCCAGGGAACCGGGACACCTGATGGGGACTCTCACCTGCCTGCTGCTATGCTCTTGACGAGGGCTCATAGCTTCTGTGTTCTGCCCGCCTGGGAAGTGAACGTGGCTGAACTTCCCAAGTGACCAAGCCTGCTATTCTGCGGAGATGTGACTGCCTGTGCTGTATCTGCTCCCTACACAGGCTGCTTGGAGCTGAGGTAAAGCAGCCTCGTACCTACTCATGCCTGCCCAGCTCCTCCCACCCTGGGACGGCACACCTCTGCTAGACTGGGGCCCTCACCAACACCTGACTGACTGTACTGTGTCCTTGTTCTCATTTTCGAGTTGGCCTAGTGCTCTTGTCCCTGATTTTGGCTCTCTCAGTTTCAGATGTGAACAGAGAACTTTTTGTTCCTATCAGTAGGAATGCCAGGTCCCTGGTGTTGTACTGTGCTATGGGTCGACTTTGAGGGGTTTCCTAAGCACTCACTCCAGGTGTTTCCACTGGGCATCAGTGACCAGTGCTGACCATGATGCAGGAGTCTTGGGGTTGCTGAGGGGAGAGGACACACCTGAGAGGGCTCCTGCCTTCTGGACACTGGTAAACCCACTCGGTCCCTATTCTTAGTGCATGTTTGCCCTACATAGTGATTACATTCATCATGGGGATTGGTCCAGGTATATAACACGTCTTTTTACCTGCCCCCGACCCTTGGTCCACTTCCTGTTTGAAGAGTTGGCTTACCTTGTCTAGAGCACAACCTTGCATATGAAATAGTTCCTAGGTGGTACCAGATAGGGAGAAAAAAGAGTCTATGTTGAAAATGAAATTGTGGAGGATTTAGAGTTAAGTTTTGTTGATTTTTTTTTTTTTTAAAAAGCAGTTAACCAGTAAGGAAAAATGTGGGCTCTAACCTTCTTTCTGTGGTCTTTATTCTTTCTCAAGTATAGAGTTCCTATGTTCCTTGCACCACAAAACCAAACCCAACCAAAAGACTCCCCCATTTAATTACAAAAGTGTGTATGTTTTACTGTAAAATCCAGAAAAGTTTAAAAGAAGATCAGTAGAAGTCAGATAATCCCTTCACTTAAATACAATTTGGTAGCTTCTCTTTCATTTCTTTCCCTTCCTTCTTTTTCTCCCTCCCTTTCTTTTTTGCAGTATTAGGGATGGAACTCAGGGACTAGTGCATGCTAGGCAAGTGTTCTACAATGGGATATGACTTCAAACTTTGTTTTGAGATGAAGGTCTTGCTAAGTTGCCCAGGCTGGTTTCGAACTTGGGTCCACTTACTTAGCTTCCTGAGTTACTGGGTCTATAGTCATGTACCACCTCGCTTGGCTTGTTGATTCATATTGTCTGTCTGTCTGTCTGTCTCTCTCTCTCTCTTTCTCTCTCTCTCACACACACACACACACACACACAAAACAAGATTGAGATCACACCATTAAACTTCTCTAAAAAACATCACACAGGGCTGGAGTGTAGCTCAGGGGTAGAGTACTTGCTTTGGATGTGCAAGGCTATTGGTTTGATTTTTGGCAACACACACATAACATGAAAAACCATGATTTTTAAAATTGTTGAACCATAACTATTTTGGGAATATATTTGCAGTTTCGTACGGCTACAAATGATACATCTTTATAGTTAAGTCTGACCTCATTTATAATGATTTCCGTGGGAATCTTAGAATTATTGGATCGAAGGATGTGCATATTTTGGCATTTCTTCTATTTGGACAAATTGCTTTCTAGGAAAACTTGTCCTGAGATAGACATTGCACTGGTGGAGAGTCTGATGTTTTCTCTTTAGCATTTAGTATTTATCGCAATAATAATTTGTTAAATGAAAAGTAGTACCACATCAGTATCTTCATTTTAATTATTAAGCTGACTGCTTTCCCTCTTTTTAACCGCTTTCATTAGTTTGATCTTGTCCTTTGATATTTATTTTGTGAGGTGTTAGTGTTTCTTATGAATCTCTAAGAGTTTTTGTTAAGTGAAGGTTAGTAACCCTTTGTCATATTTGTACACATTTTTCTCTCCCAGGGTATTTGTTGACTGTATGAGCATGTGTGTTTCGTTTTTATGTAGACAGGTCCATCTTTGCTTTTTCACTTTTATGCCATTGCAAGTATTGAAGGTTTTCCTCTGAATTTGGGGGCCTAGAACTTTTACTCTAACCCACCTCTAATCCTCTTTCTGGGCCTTTTGCCATTGTCCATTGTCAGCTGGTATTTGCATTATAGTAGCTTTGCCTGTCTCATCACCCTTTCCAACAGCCTTTTATGTGAAGTTGAAGTCACTTTGTCTAGGTTAAAAAAGAAAACTCCTCTGGGAATCGGTTCAGTGAAAAGACACTTGGGCTTCAGTGCAAGTAGAATGAGCTGGGATGCATATTTCAGAATATGACTTTGCACAGTTGTAGGAACTCAGACAGGGCACCTTGCCAGGTATCCTGTGCACCAGCTGAAGAATCTATGGGGCAGCAAGTTGTAATAAAAAGGGCTATTTTTGCACTCCCCGACTCCTGCAGTGAAAGAACTTGTACTATTTCCAAACCAGATGCATTCTTCTGGTTGATGGATTCTGCCACTTCCTGGCTTTCTGTGTTTCTTCTCAGGGCCAACACTTCCTGTTCTGTAAGTGGAGCACGAGCCCATGGCATGTGGTCCCTGGGGCCTGTCTGGCCTTGCATATCTAATGGAACCCTTGCCCTAGCAGGGACATTTCAGTGGTGTTCTCAACTGTGAGATACTCAGGAGTTTTCTGATGTTGACTCTGGTGTTCCATAAAGATTCTTTAGAGATCTTTCAGACTGAAGCCTTTTATGCCCAACAGTAAGGATTTTGATCAGTTGAGTATGTTTCATCGCTTGGATTCCCTGGAAGATTTTGTTTGGTCAGTTGCTGAGATGTTGAAAAAGCTCTCACCTAGACCCTCCTCAATCTCTTCTCCTTCTAAAATTACCTAACTCTGTGCCTTTTCATGCCATCAGCTCACGCAGGCAGTTTTCCCAAAAGTGGTCTCCAGGTGGCACATTCTGTGTTTTCTTCAGCACAGAGGGAAGCCAGGGGAGCAGTTGGGTCCACCATCTTCAGACTTAAATAGACTACAGGAATCTGGACCAATGTTTTTTCTTTTAGTCCCCTGATGGCCTGGTGGCTTTGAGACATACACATGCTTGGGTTTGGATGTGGAGGTCCTTGTTCACCTTCGGACTCCCAGTCAGGAGTTCTCCCTCATCACGAGCTGTGTTCTTTCCTTCCCAGGCAGGGAATGTGGTGACAGGAGAGATGGTGGAAGAGCTTATTCTTTCTGGAGCAGATATCATCAAAGTGGGAGTTGGACCAGGTGAGACCTGTTGAGAGACAGCGGAGTTGTCTGTGGGGAGGAATGGGACCAGGGCCTTGGGGACCCTGGCAGTGGCTAGAAGGAATGCAAAAGTGACTCATCCGTGAGTTCAAAACACATTTTTTTCCGGGAGCATCATTGAGATTCCAGGCGAAGCTCCTGAGAAAGAGATGTCATTCAGCTACTTCCTCATGTACCCAGGCACCTTCTAAATGTGCTTGCAGGTGCTTGGAATATGAGATCTTGATTTCAAAACATAAATGTAGAAGAAAAGAATGCAGATATTATTAATGGTGTGTACACTTTGAAGAGCAAGGTGAAGGCTGATGAATCCATGCGGACAGCTAATGGGCAAGAATGGCTCAAATTTATGTAAATGTTTGAAGGATCCAAAACATTGCAAACAGGCTTGTGATTGGGAGGCCATGTTTGAACTTGACCTATGGCCCAGGAAGTTATTGGTGTCGGCGCCTGACCTGAACCTGTCAGTCAGGATTTTGCTCATGTCCTCTTCTCAGGCTTTCTCTCCTGGGCCCGCCTCTGAAGAAATGAGGTGGAGCCTTTCGGATTTTATACTGGGTGGCACCATTTTCTCTGGGGCCAGCTGGTGCTCGTCTTTCCTTTCTATCATACTTGGGGTTGACATCACGGTCATGTTTTAAAATTCTTCCTTGTGCATCCATCATTAACCAGACACTACAAAGAGAAGGAAAGAAGATGCACATTTTTAGTTGGGACTAAAAAGCAACAAAGATTTTTAAAAAATACTTCCCAGCCAAAAGACACGATCAAAAAAGGAAGCACCCTGTAAAGCAATGAGCAGAGTCTGTGGGAGAGAAAATGCCTCTGAGACCCAGGACCCCTTTGGGCTGTGACTTAGCAGTGCTGCCATTCTCAGGGGAATAGGAAGTATGAAAACATTAGGAAGACTAGCCCTGTATGCTCATGGAATACCTAAGGTTTTGGTTTCATTTTGGTACCGGGGATTGAACTCAGGACCTTGCACTTGCATGGCATGCGCTAGAACCACTGAGCAAAATCCCTGGCCCCCCAAGTTTTTAATATACGGGAGACTTTCAACTCCGTGTTTTAGAGTGGTTTCCATGTTACCACTCAAGGGATTAATAACATTGGGAACAAGAGTTCCAAGTAAGGTTAGTCTGCCTTTAGCCTGGCTCCAGAGCACCCCATAATGGACACAATACATCCAGGAGGAGCTGAACCAGTGGCAGAACCGGGGACACAGTGGGATGTGGGTGACTCATTCATTCTTGAGTCCACACATTCTTCGAGTGACTATTTATAGAGCCCTTATTAGGCACTGGGCTCCTTCCTTCCCTCTGCTAGACAGCAGTGTGAATGTCCATGGAGCTTACCATCCAGCAGAGAAAACAGCTTCAGCCTTTTTACACAAATATTATGAGGAAGTAGCTGAATGCTTCTGCTGGAAAGAAATACATTTCCCTGGGGCAGTGAAGACAAAGCCTGAAAGATGAGAAAGGGTTGGCTGTCTGAGACGGGTCGGTACAGAGGTCCCAGTGTTTAGAGAGAGAATCCCTGAGGTGGGGAGCAGTCTGCCCCTTGGGAGGGACTGAAAAGTCAGTGGCCAGCAGCAGAGAGATGAGAAGTGAGAGGGGAGGGTCTCGAGTGGTGCTTGTTGGAGCCAATTTGGGTGAAGCGTGGGGAGGAGGTGCTCGCTTCCTGGAGGGAGGGTTGGGATTTGGAGGGGAGTGGGGGACACATGGTAAGGAAGCCTCTGCTCCCCGTTGGAGGATCCAGCCGGGGCCGGGTTTGACAGTGGGAAGGAAAAGGGCCAAGGCAGGAGTACGTGTGGGTGCTGACCTCAGGGTTTGGGTGGATGAGGACTCAGAGCAGATCACGAGGCAGGTGGGCTACAGGATTGAGAAGGACCAGTGACCCGTCATGTTGGTGGTTGAGCAGGAGCCGGGGGTGTGGGTATCCAGCATGCCTCTCCTTTGCTGGGGGTTTCCTGAGGGCCAGGCCCTGGGCCAAGCCATTTTTCCTCTGGAAGGCCATTTGATCTCTGTGAGGCGCCTGATTTTGGGTCTCACTGGTCAGGAGGTGGCGAGGCTTGGAGAGGTTTATCATTTGACAAACGCTGAAGGCCCAGAAGCCCTGAGGAGCTGCAGGAGGGGGACAACAGCTGAGAACAGCAATGCAGACCAAAGGCACTGTGGCTAGCAGTTGGACCCCCGAGCACATGACATGTCCTCTGCGCTGGAAGGTTCACCGCTGTCACTATGGTGATGTCACTAAAGTGATGGTGGAGGCTCATGTTAGGTCGTTCTGCTCATGCCTGATGTCTCTTTGGGGCCCCCTTTCTCTGCAGGTTCCGTGTGTACCACCCGCACCAAGACCGGGGTGGGCTACCCCCAGCTGAGCGCGGTGATAGAGTGTGCAGACTCCGCCCACGGTCTGAAGGGGCACATCATCTCTGTGAGTGTGCGGGGGCACAGGGCACCTTGGGAGGGCAGGAGGGGCCTAGAGGCCTGGCCCCTCTTCAGCATGCACAGCTTGTAGCTGGGGAGGTGGTGTGTGTCAGGTAAAAGGGCTGAAGACCAAGACCAGACCAGGCCACAACAAGTCTTCATTAGGGGAATAGATCTGCCGGGCTGTCTCTGAACAAAGGAGAGACAAAAGCAATATGGCCGGGGCAGGCAGAGTCTTTTATAGAGACTGGGGTGGAGTTTGTGGGGGATGAGGTGGGGTTGAGTGAGGTAGTGACTAGGGAATGGAGGAGCCGGTGATGTCACTAGGTGGTAGGAGGTGAGCGAGTATTAGGTTACTTTCTAGGTGGGAACAGGGGGACGCTGGGAAGAAGGGTTTATTCTTTGGTGGGAGCAACCATCTCGGCATGACGTCACACAGGGGAGGGGGCAAGGCACGATGGGAAGAGGACAGCTACTGTCCATTATAGCTGCTGAGGTGGTGGGAGACCTATCAGCGTGCTGTGGTTTAGGGGACTTGCAGATGGCCTTGAGAACACAGAGGCCAGGTAGTCACCTGCTGAGGCTGTCATCATAAAGCACCACAGACTTAAACAGCACAATTTCAGCACCTTGCAGTTCTAGAGGCTGGCGTCTAAAGTCGGGGTATGGGCAGGGCCCCTTGGAGGCACTGGGGAAGGAGCCACCCCATGCCTTTCCTCCCCCTGCCAGTCCCTAGGCTGGGAGCCTCCCTCGGTCCCCACCATGCTCCCTTGAGTGTGAGGCTTTCTGTTCCGTCCTTTCCTTTTCCTAAGCACCCTGGTACTATTGGTTTAGGGCCCCCAGCTCCAGGATGATCCCGTCATAACTCGCTACCCCTACAAGGGTCCTGCTGGAATAAGATCACATTCTGAGGGAGCCGGCAGCAACAAGTGAATTTGGGGGGACATAGTTCAACCCATAACAGGCCACAGAATCCCAGATTTGGGGGTCAGGAAAGGCTTCTTGGAGAGTGGGACAGTGAGGCCTGACACTGCTCCAGATGGCAGGGAAGAAAGGAACTGAAAAGCACTGGGGAAGCAAGACAGAACGACATGCCGGGGACCCCAAAGTCATGGTGTCGGGCGTGAGGATGGTGGGGTGTCAGTCGGGGGAGGGGATGGAGGGGTGAGAGTTCGGGGCAGGTGTGGACAGGGACCCAGGGGCTACACTGAGGGCTGCGACCGCCTCCTTTGGTCTTCAGAGACTTTGAACTGGCTGCCTTAGGGAGTGCTGGGAAGGGGCAGGCTGAGAAGGGAGCTGCTGTGTGGTTTCCGGGTGCTGGGGGCCATCAGAGAGGACATCGAGTGGGCATTGGGTTCATGGCTGGAGACCCTCGGGCTAACAGCCCATCACTCATGGGAGCCTGCAGAGTGAACGGGGGCAGAAGGATGCAGAGGTGAGAGGGGGCCTGAGGTGGTTCAGAGGAGCCAGCCCCGGGTGAACAGACTGAGGACTTGGAGGCCAGGGCCAGAACTCAGGAGGCTGGGGGAAGGGGCCAGCAGGAGGGAGGAAGCTGCTGCGGAGACGCTGCTTAGTGGCTCACGGTCACCGGTAACCAAGGGGCCAGTTCAGGGTGTGTGTGGGAAGGAGGGAGTGGTCACAGGCACACAGCATCCCGAGGAGCTCCTGGTGGGCTGATGCCATGGTCACCAGCTGCTGCATGTTCTTAAGCACTGAACAAATGAATGCCAAGTTCCAGTCTCTCCACTGTCCATGCACCAGCTTTATCCACGTGACCACCATTCAAACTGTGGCAGATAGTTATTCTGAAGTGAGATGCCGAGGATAGGAAGAATGTCAGCTCTGACAGCCCGTGATCGCTAGAACCATGGCTTCCCCTGTGTGGCTATTTTAGATAGAAATAGAGATGCACAGTCATTCCTTGGTATCCTGGGCTGCTCCCGGGTCCCGTTGTGGAAACCAATGTCCCCATGTACAGTGGTGTCATATTTGCATATTACCTAAGCAATAGCCTTCCATATACTTCAAATTATCATATTTGTAATATGTAACATAGTATGAATGTTATGTAAGTAGTTATATTTTACAGTTTAGGCAATAATGGCAAAAAAAATCTGTATATGTTCAATATAGATGCACTTTTTTCTTTACTCGAATGTTTTTGATTTATGCTTAGTTAAATCTACCAATAAAACTGACAGATATGGAAGACATAAATATACATACATTTATATAGTTATACGTATATGCAGGTATATATTTACAGATCGGTAGTGGTGGCATAGTTTTAATGGTTCTTGTGTTTAATAGATTAAATCTTCAAATCTTTACACTTATACATTTTTTAGGGAGCCTGGGCTTCCAAATGAAATTGTCTGTAGGTGATGTTTTTAAAAACCAAAATTTAAGAAAGTATGTATCTCTGTAGAAAGACACCTTGTGGATTTTACAGCTTGTTGAAGTCTGATTTCTTGACTTGCTTTTATGGTGTCATATTATTTCAAAACCTACATGCATAGAGTTGTCCCACTTGAGCTCCTGTAGCATTTGAACCTACAGGCTCTGCCTCACATCACATGACTCAGATAAGAACCCAAGCCAGGTCCAGGTCCTCTACCCATAGTACAAAGCAGATTGCCTGCACGCCTACTTCTTCATCTGATTGTTTCATCCACCCATCCATTCATTTAGCAAGTATTTATTGAGCATCTCCTAAGTGCTGGAATAAAATAAATGGCCAAATGTTTATTGGTTCATGATAGTTCTAAGACCTACTACTTGACAGTCTTTACCTTTTCCCCAGTGAAAAGATTAATATCTCTTTATCAACACTAGTATATAAAAGGCTGATGTAGTATTGTTGCTTTAGATTTGCTAAGTGTTGTTATTTCACCAAAGCCACCAAGCAGTCCCCTGCTGCAGGCTGCTAGTGGTTCTTTTTTTTGGTACTGGGGATTGAACTCAGGACCTTGTACTTGTGAGGCAGGTGGTGGCACCACACCACTGAGCTAAATCCCTGGCCCTGCTATCAGTTCTTGAAGGCTTCTGCAGCCGTGTTTTAGGCTGGCTGCCCAAGTCTCACCAGGGGAGCTTGCTTCACAGACATCCCTGGAGCCTGTCCTGGTGAGCTAGACCCCCAGAAGCCTCAGGTGGAATTAGTTGCACATCGCCATCACCTGATCATTTTCATCAAGTGTCTTAATCAGAATCGGGACCCTATATTATATATGATCACTGTTTCCAAAGTGGTAGAAGTCAGATTGATAAAGTTTTTCCAGGGGCTTACTTTGAGACATCCTTAAGTCTTTCTGGAAACTGCCAACTTGCTCAGTAGAGAGAACTATCAGGCAGGGTGGGGTAGTTGATTCAAGGGCTGACTGCATAGCACCACCTAACACACAGCTAAGTTTGCAGTTGTCTTTCCGAGTGTGGGCCCCAGATCAGCAGCAGCAATGTCAACTGAGAACTTGTTAGAGATTCTCGAGTCCCACCCCAGACCTGGTTTACAAGTCGGAAACTCTGAAGGCGAGGCCCAAGAGCCTGGCTTCCCAAGCCCTCCGGGTCACTCTGAGGCATCCTGCACTTTGGCCCATGCAGAGGAGGCTTGGCTGCCCTGGCTGGTCTCTTCTGCTGGTGCCCACAGAGCAGCTTACCTGCCTGTGCGTGTCAGGGGCCTGTGGTGCCTGTGCTATAGGAGGTGGCACTTATGAGCCTAGCTATGTGCTGCAGAGTTCCATAAGCGGTGGGAGATTTCCCACATAGGGTTAGGAATTCAGATTGTAGCCAGAAGAATTTCGAAGGCTTACCTAGGATTTGGACCCTGCTCTTTAGCTCATTGCTGCTAAAGCCAACCAGCTATGCTTCTGCCTTCAGCATCAAAGTGGCCATTACCCCCACTGTCGCTTCATCTATTAAGTTTCCCAGCCAGGTGTCTCCCACTTGTCAAGTCCTGAGCCTTCAGATGTTTGGGATCCCGCCACATTGTCCGATTTCCTTCTAGCTGTCTCATTTCACACTTAGGCTACTGACCTAGCACGTCTGCGCTGTTGCAGTTCAGAAGGAAGCCCCCCCAGAAGGGGGCTTATGATCCACTGGCTGTCCTGGCCTCCTGTTTTACTTATTGTGGCTTCATTCGGGAAGGCAGAGAGCCTCCCTATGTGCAAAGGCCAAGGTGTGAGCAGTTAATTTTTTTTTGTCATGCCATTACTTAGAGCTAAACAAATTTATTAAATGCAATAATTTAATCTTATGTTTGAAGTCAACAAAATAAGCTTAACCTAGGAAAAACCAGGCATGCAAATAAACTTTTTAAAGGAAATAAGCGTTATCAGAAATGCAGTCATCTTAAACTGGGTGTGGTGGCATACATCTGGGATCCTAGTGTTCTGGGAAACTGAGGCAGGAGGCTCAAAGGTTCATTCCCAAGCCAGGGGAGCATAGCAACTTAGCAAGATCCTGTCTCAAAATTAGAATAAGGCTGGGCTGGGGATTTAGCTCAGTGGTTCTGCTGCCTGCCTCGCAAGCCCAAGGACCTGAGTTCGATCCCTGGTACCAAAAAAAAAAAATTAAGGCTAAGGATATAGCTCAATGTGAAGGCCCTTGATTCAGTACTCCAGTACTGCAGAGGAAAAAAAAATCTTAACTAATTCTAGTCTTCAATTTTATAGCTGTGTCACCCTGGGAAAAATCAGCCTTTCTGAGTTTCATTTTTCACTCCACTTCCAAATTATCAACTTCTGATTCTTTTGTTTGAATGGAAAAATGACTGTTAAGTTCATAATAGTCTGTGGTACATTGAAGGTGCTTGATTTCAACTCCATTCTCCACCTGTCCCAGGTTTCTTTCTCCCCAGCCTCTAGGTTATGCGTGAGCAAATGTTTTTAACCAGAAGAGACATACAGAGAATTCACAGATCAGACCACTTCTCACGTCCTGTGATACTTTTTCTACTGGAAAGATAATGTTAATTGTGTTGGAAAACAAAGCAAGTAACCCTTGTAAATTACTGGTTTGAATATTTGCACGGGACAAAATACGGGCCCAATTGTTCTTCTTTGAACAACCTTCCTGCAACGACAAATTTCTGCGTGTGGGAAATGCATCTTAGCTTGCAGGCTGGTGCCCTTCTGCTGTCTGCTGAGAACATGAGAGGTTGCTTTGAGCAGCGTATGGAAATTGTGTACATGCTAGAAGGGTGCAAATTTGCCTTACAGCGTTGTAGAAAAGTAGATTGCACTTAGTTAAATGTGCAGTTGGGCTTTGCAGCTCCACGATGTTTCATAAATTCACACACAATCTACGGTTTCCTCTCCGTGGCATGTCATGAAGTCATGTTACCTGGGCTTGACTCATCTGGGGGAGAAAAAGGGCTTGTTTTGTTGTGGTCCAGGAACACAGGGCATGCACGTTGGCCTTGTCACAGGCCACAGTCATGGGGGATTTTCAGGAGCTCATAGGAGAGACACTGGCACATCTGCAAGCAAACAAAGCGCCTTATTTTTAGGTCACATTGGTAGGGACCTATTTTAATTAAAAGTAATTGTATATTGAATCTATTTAAGGTTATGGTTTGGAAGCCTGTTGAGTAGTGCTGGTTTTGATGAAGTGATAAAGCACTTGAAAATTCACTGGGCACGGGAAGGGCACACGGAAGTCGTGCCTGGAGCGAGAATGTAAGCAAACCTGCTGGGGGTTGGCAGCAGTAATAGGGTGCACGGAGCCCCTGCCCTGTTTTGGTCCTCACATGAGGGCTCGGCCCACATACCCAAGATGCAGAGCCTGCCTCGGTGTCAGGCCTGTGCCGTGGGCCCCCTGGGAGCTGGGGGACGGGGAAGCCATCAACACACTAGACGGAGGAAATACTTGCAGTCAGGAAATGTTCCTACAGGGAAAGATAAGTCTCCAAGCCTCCGTTTTGATCAGACCTGCAAGGAAGTAGCAAGCAGGGCTGGAGTCCTAGCTCCTGGAGTGGCCAACCTGATAAAAACACCTAGCAAAGCGGAGACCTGTGTTGTCAGGTGGAGATGCTCTCTGCAAAGTGATTCCGCCACGTTCTGTTGTAGTTGCCATCCAAGGGGCAGGCACCTTCCTCTACATTGTCCCCCGGAGTAGACAGGTGGCCTTGTTCCCTGTTGTTCCTACTCGGACCCTCTGAGGCCTCGGAATTTCCCCTACAGCCATACAGCTTTCTGCTGTGACACTGTCACGTGAGCTTACTGTAACTGGTCCTGTCTCCCCTCCCCGCTTTGCTTGCCTTAAACTCCTCCCAGGCCACACTGGGACTAGCTGGCAGCAGGCAGGCAGTTTGTGTCTCTTGGGTGTGTAAGGAAAAGCAAGCAGCTCTGTATCCTGGGAGCCTTGTCCCGTGGTGCTGGGTATAAACATAACCCAGGGCCTGTCCGGCATCGCGGTGACCCAGCCCCAAGCTCAAGTTCTGAGTGGGTGTGGAGAATGGATGCCTGAACTGAGGGTGACTGTCCCAGCACATGGGGAACAGGAGATGAGAGGGACGACGAAACCCATGTCCTTTCTCAGCTCTTAGAGTGCAGCCCTTGTACTAAATCAGACCCCTCTCGCCAGCCGGGGCGGGAAAGGTGACCCCCGGGAGACAGACCTTGGCCAGGGAAGGCTGTGCAGGGCCTGCTGCAGCTCAGCACTCCTGCGTTCTCCTCCCGGAAGCAGGTGGTGCCAGGCCCCTACCCACAGAGGACACTGGCTGGGGACTGGGGGACACGGGGTGGAGCGTTTGGGGGAGCAAACCAGACCAGCAAACACTCCTCGGGCTGTGGCCCAGGAGGTATGAACTCCCAGTCCCCGAGTCACCCTCGGAGGGGACAGCCTGGCCAAGCTCCCCCCATCTGATGTCCTCTCCTTGCTCTTTCCTTTGAAGGATGGAGGCTGCACGTGTCCAGGAGATGTCGCCAAAGCCTTCGGTAAGGACCCAGCTGTGGTGCGGAGGGTGTGGCAGACCTGGGGGAGTTCTGGGCCTGTCTAGAATGTCCTCTGCCTGCCTTTCCTTCCCAGGGAGGATCTTGGTCTCGGTTTGGTTTCCGTCTGTGGCCACGCCTGCCAGATGCCCAGATGGATCTAGGGTGACATCCTGCAGGCCAAGAGTTGGGTGAAGTCACTGCCTCTTCACTGGGGAAGGCCTGGCTTAGGGCACCCTTGGAAGAGGACAGTGCCTGGTCTCAGGTCTAGAGACAACAGCTCCTTCCCACTTTTCTGTGGTGCTGGGGATGGAACCCAAGGCTCTGTAAGTGCTGTACCACTGAGCTGCACCCACAGCCCGCAGGGGCTCTTTTGACTCAACCTGGAGTAATTCCCTGGGAGTGTCCTGGCCAGTTTCTTGCAGACTCTGGTGCCTGCTTCCCACTAGGGGGCAGCAGGGGGTGGTGTGTCCTGGGTGTTTCCCAGAAAAGCACTAGGAAGCCCAGCATGTCAACACAAGGGGCAGTAAAATAGGGCTGCTGAGCCTCGTATGGGCCATGTAATGTTGGCAGACTGTTACAGATGTCAGATCTGCCTGTACAGCTCGGGGCTTCAAACTGTTCAGTGGGAGCTACGGGTGGTGGCAGGAGGCAAAAACAAAGCTCCTGTGTGCCCACCCTTTCCTGATATAAAAAGAAAAGAAATTTTTTGATAGTAGAACATTTTCTTAGAAATTGTTTTGTTTTGCTTTTTCAACAAAAACCTTGATAGTGACAGACACCACCACGGGGCAGTGGTAGGGTTTCATAGCAGTTGGGATAATGACATGAAAAGATAACTTCATCCTGGTCTGCTCACAGATATTAGTCATGGAAGGGAATATGCAGACCTTCTGCTCTTCCAGCTTGCCTGTTTTTTGTGGCAGAGAGGACAGAGGGCCCAGGAGTGGTGACAAGACTACAGTCCTAAAGTTCAGGGCAGGGAGAACTTGGGCCCTCTGCTAACTCCTGTTCCCATCCCTTAAGGATCGTAGCTGTGGACATTATCTGTGTTTGAATGGTTGTCCATCTTGGCTCCCTTCTCATGCTTCTACATGCTGTGAGCACAGGGAAGCTGCTGCACACACCATACAGTGACTGGTCCTTAAGAAGGTGCTTTGTAGATAACAGTCACTGGCCTTTGGTTTCATGCTCAGCTCTGTTTCTCTTGGGCATCTTTTCTTCTTCTGCTTCCTCAGTGCAGTAGCATCTGTGCAGAGCCTCGGTGGAGGGAGGGGAACCTTAGCAGGGAAAATGCTGCTTAAAGGCTATGACAGCCAGGCACAGTGGCTCATGCCTATAATCCCGGCTACATGAGAAATCACAAGTTTGAGGCCAGCCTGGGTACCTTAGTGAGACCCTGTCTCCAAAAACAGCTAGGATATATAGCTCAGTGGTAGAGCATGTGAGGCCTGGGTTCCATCCTTAGTACCTAGCCCCTCGCAAAAAAAAAAAAAAAAAAAAAAAAAAAAATTCAGGAGCTCTTCAAGGATTGTTTTATGTGGAACTGGGCTCTGTGTCCCCTCTGTAGACTCCTGAGGTGGTGGGCACCAGGAAGTCTGGCCAGATACCAGTTACCCTCATGATAGGAGGACCAGGGAGGAGCCAGCAGTGGTGTTAGGAAACCTGCAGGGGAGGTTGCTGCTGAGTAGAACTTGCTTACCTTTGTGTAAGGCTGAGTGGAAGGGACTGAGCTGATGCTCACCCCAGGGGCATCTGGTACAAAATACATGAGATTACCTGGTTTACATGAATAGAAGTTTATTTGCCTCCTGGTTCAGAAGGCTGGGAAGTCAGAGATGTTCCCGTGAGTGCCTTCTCGCTGTGTCACACACAACAGGTGTCACATGGTAAGACAGCAAGGAAGGGCCCAGCTCGGCACAGGCGTCTGGACCACCCCGTTCCCACGCAGTAGGAGATCCAGGCTTCAACCCGACACCGTCCCCCTGTACTAGCTCAGGTCTCTCATGTGACTGATGCTGTCAGGGAGTCTCAACCTCACAACCTCACGACCTCACGACCTCACTGAATCCTGATGGCCTCCCAAAGGTCCTGCCCTCCACTTAGCAGCAACATATAGAAATGGGAATTAAATCTCCAACATGTGAATGCTGGGGTCCACATTCAAACGGCAGCACTTAATGTTTAACGGAGCCACTCTGCAGGGCTACCCAGAACAGGATAAGGAATGTGTGCCTTTAACGTCTTGATGGCCAGGGATTCCACATCTACCACAGGGGGACACAGAACCAGGCCTGGTCCCGTGCCAGTGTAGCCAACAGTCGGCTTCAGTCCCATCTCCTCTCTAGCTGTCTGGAAAACTTCCTGGCATATTATTTGCTCTGGAAGTCTCATATCCCCCAGTGGAGATGCAGGGAGTTTTATCCATGCCTGATACCGGGTTTCTTTCCTCCACACCCAGGCTCGAGTGTAGAGGTGCAGTCTGCTCTGAGGCACTTCCTGATCTCTACACAGTAACAGGGTAGAGCCCTTAAGAGAGACCTGATGCCCGAGGGGGACACCAGGGGAGCTGCTAAGATCGGCTCCTGGCTGACGACGCACGGTTCTTAATGTTTACACTGAATCTAAGAGGCCTCTGGCAGGAGGGCATGGCAGTGAGCCATTTGTAACCAGTCATTGTTGCCCAATGAAAGCTCCCAGTGTGCCCCACTGGCTGTGTCCTTGTGTCCTGGCCAGGGCCTTCACCCTGGGGAGAGGGAGGGGAATTGGGGAAGACTCACACCACTGTAGACCCTATCTTCCTGACTCCTTTCCTCTACCCGCTGCCCTGTCCCCTTGCTGGTGTACAGGAGCGGGAGCCGACTTTGTTATGCTGGGAGGGATGTTCTCGGGCCACACCGAGTGTGCAGGGGAAGTAATCGAGAGGAACGGACAGAAGCTCAAGCTCTTCTATGGGATGAGCTCCGAAACAGCCATGAAGAAACACGCAGGAGGAGTGGCCGAGTACAGGTAAGGCCGGGCCGAGCGTGTCCCCAGCCAGGCTGTAGCTTCTCTGTAACCTGGAGGTCTGGGTGGGTGAAGGTCCTCTGGGAAGGGCTTGGAAACCACACCAGTCTTTTCAGAGCCCTCATTTGTATCCAGCCAGCAATGACTAGGGGTACGTCTGAGCAAGTTCTGGTCTTGGAGGGGACCCCCACACTGGCGGGGCCGGGGGAGTATTGCCTTGCTCTATACGGCCTTGGCTGAGCTGTCTCCACAGCCTCCATCTCTGTCCCGAGACTCCTTCAGGCTGAAGCACAGATTCCTGTCCCATAGGAACTGGGTGGCATAGACCTGTGTGGTGACCAGGCCCTTCCTGTAGGCTGCTACACGTCATCTACGGTACAGGCTGATTCAGACCTCTCACTGGCCTCTGGGTGCTGGCAGGGAACACAGGCAACATTTCCAGCTCTTTAACTGTCACTACTGCAGAAGTGTCACTTACTTCTGCTGATGCTTTAAAAAACAAACTTAAACCTCACGATCCCCCAGCCTGCCGTCTCCCCTGTGTCAAGCCTCCACTTGTGCATTAACGGCTAGCAGAGGGACTCTCTGTCTCTCTAGCCCCACCCCACGGAGTTCGCTCTTGCTTCCCCTTACAGTGGCTAAGCTGCACAAAGGGGACTGGGCCGAAGGCACTGGTCAGAAACTGGCTTTGGCTGCCTTTCTCTAGGTAGCCCAGCTTCTTACTTGTGTTTTCAGGCTCTGCCTCCATTGTAGGATGGAACCCAAGCCTGCCTGGCTGACACTGTGCTTTCTTGCACTTGTCCCAGAGCCACACACACGTTGAGGGCCTGGGACGTGGACGCATTATGTAGGGGTAATGCCCAGCTACAGGAAGAATCCAGACCTCCAGTGAGAACTAGGGGCCGGAGAGGTCGGGGGAGCTCTGTTCCCAGAGCTCTGCGCAGCATCGTTCTGGTGGCTGACTTCATTCTCCCTGGTCGTGTTCTCTTTTGTCAGGAAGTCAGTCAAGCTGGCATCATTGTAGGGAAGGCAAGGTGGGAACCCATAGAAACAGGAGGTGTGCCCCTTCCAGGGAGCCTCCAAGGCCCTTTCTCTCCATGGTAACCGATGGGGAGGGCTACCCTGACCCGTGGCCAAGAAGTGGGGCCATCAACTATTGTCACTGCCCAGTGGCTCGTGTGGTGTCCGCTCTGCTGGAGCTTAATGGGCTTGTGTGGCCAAGCCACTGCTGGATGCTTTGCTTGGAGGACATTTTTCTGCCTGTAGTTTGGGGTCCTCAGAAAAGTTGTGGCCAGATGAGGCTATAGAACACACACATACCTAAGTGTTAAGAAAATCCATCTTCTGGGATTTCAGCAGGGAGGAATCTTTATCACAGACAGACTTGGTTCTGAAATGGAAGGAAAGCGCTGAAGGAATTAGCACAGGTAGCCTGAATCTTAATTTCAATCTGTATCTGTTCTACCCGTGTTTTCCTTTGGCAGTGGCAGTCTTGTGCCTGTGATCTTGTCATAAGAACGATCCCCTACTTTGACATTGTGTTTAATGGCACTGCCAGTTCCTTCCCAGCCATTATTTCTCACGTCAGAGTGCCTCCATTCACAGAGGAGCAGCCTTCACCATAACTCGGGAGAGGCGCCGTCACCAGTCAGCACAGAGGCAACTGTGAGAATCTGGATAATTCCCAGCGTGTCCTGGGAAGGCCATGGAAATGCACACGAACAGTGAAATAGCGGTCACTGTAGGCACAGGTCACACGCCAGGACATGATTCGTCGGGGTGTGGTGGTGACTCTGGCTTCCACCAGCCACTGGGCTGGCCCTTTATCCAGCTCATGGTTTAAGTTGCTGGATTTCATCCAAGGGGGAGTCTCGCGTGTTCAGTGAACAAAAGTTAACATACCTTTGAAATCCCAGGTACTGAAATTGCTGGTCAAGAGTTGCAGTTTTTCAGGTCGATGAGAGCAGCCACATTAAGTTCCAGAACTTGGTTACTTAGGGTTAGATGAGGGCTTTTGTAGACATCAGCTGTCGCCCTTGTAAACCTCTGAAAAAGCAAGGAGGGACTGCATTACCACGTTACCGTATGAGGGCCTGATTTATGGAATGAGGCAGTGTGACTTCCGTTTTGTGAAGCCAGGGACAGAGCTCAGTGGAGACGGTCAGGTGGCTTGGTGGCTCTGCTGTATGCCGCACCTGCCCTGAAGATGTAAAGGATGCTGTCTGAAGCCCTGTGGCCTCTGTCCCAAGACAGCTTGCTTCTGCTCTGGGTCCCCTCCATGCTCTGGGAGACAGGTGAGCTAACCTGAGCAGGAGGGGCGAGCTGGCAGCTGGGGGTCCCCAACAAAGGGTGTCTGGGGAGGTGCTTCCCAGTGACCTAGCTGGCAGTGGTCCCTTTGATGACACGCAGGCTTCCATGGTGGAGCTGGCGCTCCGGGAGGCAGAGCTGCGGCGTCTTGCCCTCACAGGGCAGGCATGGCAGGAGCCATCAGGTCTGTCTCCCCCGTGGGCGGTTGCTCCTCTTCAGGGCGGTGTATACAGAAAGGTGGGTTTGGCTTCAGTTAGGGGCAGGATGGCGAGGCCCACATCAGCTTGGCACACAGTGGGAATGGAGTGGGGCTGAGGGTGCATCTAGCTGAGTACCCGGGGCTGCTAATCGTGACAGCGGGGACTCATTCTAGCTGGTGCTCAGGGAGAGAGCGAACGGATGCAAAGAAAATTTTCCTCTTTTTCCAGAGCCTCCGAGGGCAAGACTGTGGAAGTGCCTTACAAAGGGGATGTGGAACACACGATTCTGGATATTCTCGGGGGACTGAGGTCTACCTGCACCTACGTGGGGGCTGCCAAGCTCAAGGAGCTCAGCAGGAGAGCAACGTTCATCCGGGTGACCCAGCAGCACAACACTGTGTTCAGTTAACCACGGGATGAAGCTGGAGCTGAGGCCGCTTTTCCCATCTCCCTCCTCTCCATCGTGCCAGAGCTTCTGGCTGCTCCCGAAAGGTGGAATGCTGTGTCTTTTCTCCCCTTCCACCGCCTGGAGGCTTTGGGGCTCCCTAGTGCCTTCTTGAGGCCCGGAAGCAGGGCCCTGATTGGGCCAGTGGCCCAGGACTCATAGCCTCATTGTTCACTTGCACCTTTTCATTTTCTTTTAAAAAAAAGAAAATGGTTTTACTTTAATATAATGCTATGATCTTGAGATTCCATTGAGTGCTGGAGTTTGCATTTAAGCCGACTTGCTTGGGGTTGTTAGCGATAATGCTGCCGCTTTGCCGGCCAGGTAAGTGGCACTCTTGGGTGCCAGCGTAGGAGACTCCTTTCGAAGGGCTGGGCTGAGTCACAGCAGCTGGCATCCCCTCTCTCTCCCTTCGGCGGTCCCTGGAAAAGAGCAAAGGCTGTTGCTAGGAAGCTGGCTGTGTCCTGGGATTTTATTTTCCTTCTCAGTCCCAACTTGTCAGGCTGGCCCCTCTCAGAGGTTATAAATTACTATTTGAAGTATGTATTCAAAGAGAATCTGAAGAATGAGCAGGTAGAGTCCCGCTGAAAAACAGAGGCTTTGCTTTAAAATGTGAGTTACCACCTTCCCTTGTTGGGATTCATACGACAGAGAAAGGACCCACAGTGGCCACTTGTGCTGAGGTACTGCGTGAAAGTTCATGCACGCCGGAGTAGTTTTTTCTTGTTAACAAGGTGAATGAAGCAGGTACAGATTTTTTCTGAAAGGCAAGCAGGGTCCTGGAGTAGAGAAGGGGCCACATAGTGCTACTGAGGAGGGCATCAATTACCTGACATCCTGCGGAACCGGAAGGCTCCAGCCACAGCATTGCACTGGAGAAGTACAAGCCCATTTTTAGTCTTTTTTTTGGTACCGGAGATCGAACTCGGGTCCTTGCACTTGCGCATCAGGCGGCAAAACCACTGAGCTAAATCCCTGGGCCCAGTTTTTAGTCTTTTAAGGAAAACATTTTAAGGTCCAGCAGCTTTTAGCACTAATTAATCCAGCGGCTCCATTCTTAAAGAATTGCTTTCGTAGTCATAGAAACAGGAAAGGCTGCACTTCAGAGATCAGAGTGAGGTCAAGAGGACAGAGCAGGATGCAGAGCAAGATGGGGGTCTTGACTGGGGGCCGCCGCCCCTCTGCCTGTCTGGGGGAAGGCTCAGCCGCTCTTGACTGACGGTGTTTATGAAATGTTTGGTAAATAAAGAGACATGAAGAAAAGCAAATCTTACATCCATTAAAAAGGACCTGCAGTAGTGAGGGAAGGTCTTTCAGGACCAGGTCAGGCCCTGGTTATTGTAGCCCGGTGTCACCAGCATCACCTTTATCTCAGATCTGGCTCCTGTGCTGCACCGCATGGCCGGGGAGGATCACGCCTGGCTGCCTTACCCATCCTGGTAAAGATTGTGCAGACTAGTTCTTTGTTTTCACATCCAAAGGCAGGTACGTCCCTTGCAATCCACTTTCCAGGGAAGTAAAGATACAAGTTAATGCAAAGCCAAAAACATGATCATTTTGAAGCAGAGGCTAAGAACTAATGGCTCATTTCCCCTTGGCTTAGCAAGTCCATCTACTTGGAGTGGTTACAGGACTGGTGCAGCGTCCCTCAGACCAGGTAGCAGGTAGGACGTGGGCAGAGGTCAGACATGCAGCCCCACTGCTCACCCACTGGGCTCTCTCTGCTAGAGGGGTAGGGTGATGAGTTTGGTGCCATTCACCTGCCCCTGGCCGCACACAGCTAGTCCTTGGCCCTAATCCATGCAAGCCCTGGAGGCGTCACACCATTAAGACTCCAGACTCAGCCAGTCTATTAGCATCTAATGAAAGACAGGGAAGGCAGACCCGGGACAGCTTTAGCAGGCTTGCCCCCATCACGGTACACAGTATCCTGCTGCCCTGGAGGAGGCCATAGGGTGGTCCTTCTAGTCTGGTCTCACCACCTGTTCACACCCTAATGCAATTGGATGTCCGGGTGCATGTCCCCAAAACTCCTCGCCAAGAAGGCGGTGGAAGGAAAAGAGTCCCCATTCCTGCTGGAGCCAGGTAAGATCTCTGACTCGAACCCTGAAGTTAGCTTCCATCTGTGTTAACCTTGAGTTCATAACCGGACAGCCACCAGTCTGGAGTCTTAATGGCAGGGACACCTCAAGGGGCTGCATCCATCAGGACCATCCCTAGCTGCGTGCTGTGACACAGCAGGCCTCAAAACACTGAAAGCATTGCCCATTACAGGACAAATGGCACCCAGGTCACGGGGTTGGTGGCAGGGGTCCTTGAGTGACTTTCAGGGCAGCTGCTGAGCCCCATGCAAACCTGTGGGGCGCTGCCTGACAAACACGGGGGAAGCCCCTGACCCAGTGAGCCTTCCCTCAGATCCAGTTGACAGCCAAACAGTAGGAAACATGCTGATCATGAGAGCCCATGGAGCTGCCAAATGTTTAAGAAAAACCATTTATAAACAGTATTCATACAGGAGACACAAGTCTGAGCTAAACAAGATGCTGGATATGGACACATGGACAAATCTGCCTTTTAGCATAGCACCTTCTCTCTAGCGCAGCCCCGTGCCCAACATATCTGTAGGGAAGCAGATGGCTCGTGCCACTCCCCACCAGCATCCTCAAAGAGGATTCATGGGGTCAGCACAGGTGAGGAGGAGCTGGCAGCATTTTCTCCACCTTGTCTTTTGAAGATCCAACAAAAGGCAAAGCCACACATCTGGAATTGGCACTGTTATTTTATTAGTACGAGTATACTGAAACAATAAACTTGTACTGGTATACAGACAATTTATTTAAAACAATTTTGTTCAAATTTTGAATCAAACATTGTTTTATAATAATGAAATAATTTCTACCTAGAAAACCTGCAAGCACCATCAAAGAAAGGGACCATAAAATTCAATAAACAGACTCGAGTGTATCCTACAAATAGACACACCACGATTAGAAAATAGAATATGAATTCTTCCATTTTTTTTAATATTTGTTTTAAAAAAGCTAGTGCAAGTACAATATTTTACACTGGAATTACAGAGAGTATGCACGCATATGGAAAAAGTTCTCCTGTCACAATAAAAGCTCTTAACTATGTATGCACTTAAAATTTTCTTTTCAATAAGGTGCAAAACATCATTCCTTCCCTAGTTCTCCATACTGGCTATGCCAGTCTGGTAGTGCCCTCAACCCAAGTTTTGGTGTCTATTTTCCCTCGGCCTGTGGGAGGCATTCAATTGAAAGTTTGATGGGAATTGCCTGATGTTAAACATCTACTGGGACAAATAATGAGGACTTGGTCTTATCTGAAGGAGACCCCAAATACTGACAGGACTCTTTTGAAACCTCCTTCCCGTTGACACTCACTGGGTTTGCTGTTGAGCAGTGCAGGCTGAAGAGGAAGAAATCTGGCCAAGAGGGCAGTATTCACAGAACCAGCTGCACAGGTATCGAGTTCAGCATTCACTGGCTACAGAATTGACCCCACTCCTGGTCCAGAATAACTTAAAGACAAGTGGTACAGAAAACGTATGCACTGACCAATCTTGGTAACAGATCTTTAGGAACAACAGCTGTAAGCCAGGGTCACCACAACTTGGTATTCCAGAGGACAGTATATTATCTTGGTAAGGATTGCTGTAAACAACGCTTCCCACGAAGGCCTTCAGATTGGCCACAGAAAAGACAGGCTCACTAGCCATCCAGACAGCGAACGAACAGACAAACTGAAGGGAAAGAAAAACAAGGGTGGGTGAAGCCTCCAATCTGTCTGCAGTGGAAGACTTGATTCCTTTCAGATAAGCAAAGTCATGGGAATTCGTAGACTGTTATTGTATAGATACTATCTATTGGCCAAATGCACTTAATTTTAATACAGTCAAACCATCTGTATGCAAGTAAGTCACTGGGGACCTGAAAAACTGAAGCCACTGTCCCACCTGCCGCTGTACAGGTGAATGTTAGCTACTAAAACAGTTGCACTGGCAACAAGGGAGGGGAGGAGATTCTGAATTTAAGAATTGCAGGTGGGAATGTTTTAATATCCCCACAGATGTCCAGATTCCACTACCCAACTTGAAAGTTTGGACAGGAATATGATACTTCAGAGATATTGCTCCACATTCAATTTGACCTCTATTAAAGGAAAATCCAAAAGTAAAACGAGGCATTTAATTGAAAATCATGCACGCCCCTCCCCATATAAATGAGGTGTGTGTGGAGGAAGGCTAAAAAATTGTTTTTGTCCCCACGAGTCCTGTTTGATAGGATCCCTTTTCGAAACACTTCATGTTCACGATTATATTCTTTGGGTTTAGAGAACAGGAAGTGCTAAACATATCAAACATCATCTCTGAAGAAAAAGAAGTTGCAATGGCTTAAGAGTTTAGACTAAAAAGGGAGCTCCAAGAAGTATTTTTTGCCTAGGAATGAACAGTATACTCCAACAGCAGAATACAGAGTTCCCCTCCCTCCAATGAGGGTGATGTGTAACAAAAACTTAACAGTAAGCATAGTATAGTTTAAGAGCCTTTTACACAGCAATTCTTCCAGGCCATAACCATGTAAATCTGATCATTTAGACGCAACAAGTTTCTATATACAAAATAAAAAAAAAAACACCACCATGTAACTTTCAACCTTCTCTGCTTATTTTTTGATTTTTACAAAGTATGAAGCTCGTTTCAAAATATCCATACCTTTCAAACACTGAATCATCTCAACATTCATTTTTCTTTTGTGCAATTTTTTAAAAAACATTACCTGTTCTCAAGTGAGTGCTTCAAATTGTTTTCTTCAGCTTCTCCAATTAGGTGAACATTAAAGAAAAAAAAAAATCCTACAAGGTATAGTGCTACAAGAAAAGGTCCTATCAGTAAGGTAACGTATTTGAAGCGAGGTCATCTATGTAAAAGAAATCTCAGCTCCAGAGTAGAGGTGTACAAGTCATTTGGAGTTTCCCTAGCAACAAACACAACACTGTCCATGGAAAAGAGCGGAACCAACCCAACACAACATAGCATATGCATGTACTTTATAAAAAGTATATTCTCTGTATATTTATTACTTGATGTGTTCTTAAATTTTCTATTTCAGAAATTCTGGGTTAAAAACACAAATGTGGAAGCAAAGGCCTCCGCTCCACTTTAAAACAACAACAACAACAGAAGTGTAATTCTCTCTCGTCATTCATTTCACCACTGAAGAAACTGGATTGGGCCATCAAGACTGCCGGCCCTGTCTTCACCTGGAATTTCAAGGGTGACTAGGACATCGGAAGCACGAAGGGTTTCAGGAGAGAACAGACCAGTCTGTTGAGCTGTTTGTGGTGCAGGAAACAGTAGCCATGACAACCAGCACAGCTCAGGGAGCCTGGCTTTCTGTCCCAAGAGCGCTGCTTCCTCACCCATGTCTGAAATAGCATGGCATTAGTGTCTTCAAAAGCATCTCAGATTTTTTTTCACTCTATGAAAGAAATAGGTTTCCTTAGTAGTCACAAATGTTAAAGGGTATTGTCAATTGTTTCCTTAAAAAAAAAAAAAACAGAACAAAATCCAAAGCTACAATAACAAAAATAAATTTTGGCAACAGATTTCAGTAAAGATCAAAACTATGTGCAAAGAGTGGGTTTTTATGATTACTAGGAGCTACTGTTCATTTGAACATGCAGCATTATATTGCAATCTATGCGGTATCTAAAGAGTAATCCACAAGATGCAGGAAATCCAAACATTCCTTGAAATTGTACAACCCTACTCCAGAGCAGTCAAAGTGCTGCTGCTGGACACCTCAGTGTTCCACACACACACCAGCCCAGTCCCTGAGTAAGAGGTGTGAAAGTTTCCGCAGAGTTCCTTGTAGGGGAGGAAGGATGCTGCCACTTCCCGGTGGGGGAGGACCCAACACACTCACCTAACAGAAAACACACAGGGTCACGATTGAGAGCTAGAAATGGGATCGTTACCGTTACCACCACCACCGCCACCGCCACCACTACCGCTACCGCTACCGCTACCACCACCACCACAAAATCAAATCATCCCAAACCAGACTGGGTGATTTGGGGCAAACCATAGAAAATTATCCTGAAAGTCCAAATGAATATGCAATTTGGATTTCCACTTTTAGAAGATTTGAGGTAAGTGGCATCCGTCTGTGTCCCCTCCCTCCCCACCTCTGCCCCTCATGTGGCCCAGACAAACTGAAATGATTCTCAAAAACATTCTAAGGAACAGTCATTTTATATATTTAGAAATCCCTATAAAGAGGTTCTTGTTTGTTGGTTTCTTATTAATATTTTTTTTTCTTTTCGCCCTGGCTAATTTCATGGTGATTGTGTTTCATTGTAAACGCAAAAGGCCTGCTGTTATTAGTTAAAAAATGGAAAACAGGAAAGAAAGGAGAAAGAAGATGACTATTGGTTAATATTGCAAAGAGGACACGGTACAGAGGCACATGGCTGATCCTTGTATGCTGACGGCACCGAAGAATTTCCTACCCCTGTTTTCTTCAGGTTTGCTACACAGACGCGAGGACAGAGCTGCTTCGGGAGCCGAGGGCTCACCAGTGTCCAGCAACAGGAGGCTCCTGCTTTCTGTGTGTTCTTCCTGTTTGGAGTGAAAGCTGCCACAAGGGAGCGGTGACGGTGGGCGGCAGGTGGTCCCTCCACCTGGCACGCTCAGAATGCACGCGCACACACAACAGGCCACACTTGCTGCCCACACTCAAGGTCTCCAGGACACAGCCCCCAAGGAGGGGCTGCCTACTCACAGCAAAGACTGAGAAATTGAGTTGATTCCAGCCTACATTGCTGCCGGGTGCATCTTACAAATCAAGCCTCCTTCCTCTCCACACTCCACATTCAGTACTTCGTGGGGTGATGGGGAACTAGGTCTTCTTAGCTGGCTCTTTCTGCAACATGGTGACAGATACCAGGGCTCCTGCAGGCTCCCTGCCCCAGTGCTCAGCATCGTGGCAGAGGAGAGGCAGGCAGGAGGGCTGTTCCCTCCGGGCTTCTTCCCTCCAGCCCTTTCCCGGCCAGAAGTGGGAAGATCAAGCAACTGAACAAGGACAAAAGCCAAAAAGGAATGAGCTTTAACTATATAGCATACTGGTCAGACTATTGGCACAGAAAATATTGCACATGCGAAAAAAGCAAGAGAATGAAATTTGAGAAATGTTTGCGAAGAACCCATGATTTTACAATTCCTATACCTGAAACAGAACCATGAAAATGATGATGTTCCTATTGCTCCAAACCATGTGTTTTCCTGTTTTAGTGTTGGCTTCGCAGATATAGTCAGTTCAATACTCAAAGTAAGCCAGAAGGTGGCGTGTCTTTTCTGAGCTGTTGTAAATAGTGGTATGAATGAGAACAAAGTCTATGTGGCAGCCCCATATTCCTCTTACCATCAAAGGTTAAAAAACAAAAAAATAAACCTAATAATTGCAAGTGCCCTGAGCAGAATATATGGAAGATTAAGCAAGTTCTCTAAACAGAAACATTAAAAAAAAAATACAACACTAAATAAGCAGTATGACCATAAGAATGGGCCCACTCAAGCTCTGCTAGCCTGCTGAGAGGGTAATGAAATTGAAGAGAAGTCAAGGAAGGAATCTAACAATTCTAAACCTATTCAAATGTTTTTGGTACACCCAAGAAAATGGTTTATAGCATCATTAGTCCTGGGGAGAGCTAAATGTAAATGAATATTAGGAGAGTCAACATGTGGATTGATAGTAAGATTGTTTTTTAAATCTGTGAAATGGAAGAAGTAATATTTTCATTGGTAGATGAAAAATCAAATAAGTATTTGTTCAGGTTAGTTGCAGTCACTCAAGTATGAATATTTAAAAACTTCTCCCTACTTTAAAAACTTTTTGTTGTTTAAAGCACTTTAAGATGCACTCAATACCCACAAATGATGTTTCAGACCTCTGGGAATGAAAGGTTTAAACTTTATGAAATACCCTTTCTGGGTTGTACCAAACATTAAATTTTGATTTGATTTCAAATGGGGGGAAAAAAAGTCATTCTGAAAAGTAATGTTAATAACAATAATAAAGTAATTGTTTTATTTTTCAAAAAGAAAAAAAACTTGCTTACATATAAATGTCTTTATGGAAAACTCTCTCAATGAATCTGAAGAAAATTTTCAGAGTTGTCCTGCTAAGACCTGGCTTTTTGTGACAGATGTAGTAAAAAGACCAAAATGAATTTTGAAAGGAACATAACCTTATAAAATGGCCTAGAGTTTAGGCAGGTTAGAAAGTAATTTTGCTACATTTATTTATGCTCGATCAGTCCCCCAAGCCTTTCCCACAATGTTACTGGATAAAAAACTGCAGGAATATCACACAAATTATAAACTCAAGATGTGCAAATTGCAAGGTTCTTTTAAAAGTTCATCTTAAAAACACTGGACACAAATGAGCATTCTTTTCTCCATCACTTTCCTCTCAGTTTCTCTGCCAACCCTGCATATGCCTTTGAACTCTTTCTCCAAAATCAAAGTGACAAGTGCCTCCTGTCAGGTAGTACTTGGTGGTCATTTATTGTCACATACTAGTTTCAGAATTCACATTCATCCCTTTAAACCACATTGAAACTTTCAATATCTTGCTCGTAAGCAACTCTGCAAAGCTGAAATGTAGTTACAGTGTTGAAAAAAAAGAAAGCAACTTATTTTTTCTCTTTTCTTTCCCAAAGAGTTTAAAGTGAGATACAGTACTTGTTGAATGACAGACCCAGATGCTTCGTGATAGTGTGAACAGCGTTGTAAGTGCTTTAAAATAGTAATATATGCTCATCTTCAAAATCTAATTCCTTGTGTCACACTGGAATCTGAAAAAGGTGGCACCCAGGTTGTCCATAGTCATGAACTATAAACAGTACTAGAGTTAAAAGACAAGATTTTGCAAACTCAAAGAGCTCCATAGCTCTCACTGAAGGGCAGTTTGCATTTACCTCTTGGGAGCGAAGTCAATGCAATAACCTGATTGATTTTCCTAACACTGCACAGAAACCAGCATGGGCATCCCCTCCGCCCCCACCCCTGATGTGGGCGACGTGGCCTCCCTCCCTGCCCGAGACACCCTGGTGATGTATATCACTGCACTAGTAAAGCAGAAATGAAATCCCACATGTGGCAGTTGCTCCTTCTGTTTTTTTTTTAAATTTTATATATATCAGTGCAGTCAGGCCCCATAGGGGGAAATATATATCTATGTGATTAAAAGTTGCTTTTATTGTAAAATATGTTGGAGAGAAAAATGTTCTTTGAAACAGCTTTCCATTTGACACCTCCCCACAATGCCCCAAGCTGGGTTCCCGATGTTGATTTTGCAAGTGGGAACCCCAAGAGGACACTGCTTGGACCCCTGATCCCATGCTAAGAGCGAGAGAAGGAGGCAGAGGGAGGCGGAGAAAGAGAGACCCTCGCTGGCCACTGAGGCACCCTGCACCTGCAGGTCCCTTCCTGCTGGACTTTCCCTGGAAACTAGAGGGACTCGGTGCCTATCTGATGCCCCGGTGCTGCTGGAGAAGGCAGGCGCTGGTGAAGCCACATTCGTGCCACCCAGGGTGCCCGGAGCGCCACCGCTCCGATCACCCTCCACCCGCCTGCTCCAGACGGACCTCGCGGACAAAGCATATGCACCAGTCTCCTGCAACACACCTGCTGTAACTCTACTGACAAGTTAGAACAGAAACCTAAAGTAAGAGGATAACATGTAAATACTGTGTTATTTAGCCTACAGTACAGTAATCTCGATACAAATGGTAAGGGACAGCCACGTTGCCTTGCCCGCATGGCCTTTACTTGCCCACGTTAGACCGGCCTTCGATGCAGATCTTCACCTCCTGAGGAATTAGGGAAGGCTTGGGCAGAGTCAAAGGCGGCTCATCTTCCGACTTCTCCAGTTTGCGGGTCTCCGGGGCCGACCACCTCCTCTTCCTCGGGGCCGCAGGCTTGCTGGGTTCTATTTTGGGGAGGAAGGCCGCTGCAGGCAATCCTATTTTCTCCGGAAACTTCAGTTCGCCGTTCTCAGAGAGCATGTGGGCGCTTCCCTGACCGATTCCGTTCTCCTGCTCGGTGTACCTGTGTCTGCTGCTTGTCAGGCTGTCGGGCTTCGAGTGCTTCAGCAGGACGCTGGCCGGATCCACGGGCTGGCCCTTTTTAACAGAGCCGTTCTTCGGGTTCCTGAGGGTCAGCGAGATGCAGACGTCCCCAACCGAGAGTTTAGAACACGGCAAATCGAAGAGCTGGCTGGTTCTCTCTGGACAGCAGGATGACCAGCCCTGTCCAAACACAAAAAAGGGATACTCTACCAGAACTTCAACGCTGACCTGTGGGAACACCGAGACAGAGAGAGGGAAAGGAAGGAAATAAATGAAAACAATTCCTTCTTGTTCGTGTAACATATCCACACACACACGGCCAAAGGGAAAAAAGTTTACAAACCTCTCCTTCCCCCAGCAACACGCTAAAGAGGAGGCTCTTAACTGTCCCTTGTACTTACCATATCTAGGTGCTAGGCAGACGCCAGAGAGAAACTGTGCAGGGTAAAGTCCATTTAGCATCCAAAATATTTTACTATTATTAGCATGTCTCTGTTAATACAAGGAAATGAGCCCAGCAATGATGAAGCATCCATTTAGTGGGTGGCTCTGCTGGTGACTCAGAAGCCAGGCAATGGTCTTATGCGTTACTAACTCGCTAGACGTTATCATGTATTACCATTTATTTCAACAGGGCTAAGTGACAGGGAGACTGAAGGCACTTCCTTGTTCATCAGTAACCCTGGCCCTAAAACGGGACTCGGCAGACAGCCGGTGCCTAATAAATACTTACTGTACTCTTGGAATTTCAGGGGAGTATCATCAGTAAGAGCTGAGGTGGCCAGAAGAGGCTTTCCTAGGACCTAGAAGGATGGGCAGGATTTGCAGAGGTTTGAAGGGCAGACACTATTGGGGTACAGATAGCTCAAGTGCACGGTCTACGCTCAAGGTCAGGCCCAAGGTACTCACACCAGTCTGTCTGAAAACAAATAATGAAAGCAGGTAAAGCCCACTATCCTCTCATAGTGCTATGTGTCAGGCACCCTGCTACGGAAACTGGGTGGAGTCAGTCCCAGTCCCAAAGGCATTCACAGTCAAGTGGGCAGAAGAAACATGGAGACAAGAACTGCCAGTCAGCATGGTGATGGGCGATGGAGCTAGAAGTGCCAAGTACGGAAGCCTTCTTGCAGTGCTGAGGTTTTAGAAAAAACGAGGGTAGAGGTATGGTTGGAAAGAAGAGAGACTCCTGCAGAGCATCGTGGTACATGGCTCTAATTCCAGCACGGAGGACTGCCAGAAGTTTGAGGCCAGCCTGGGCTACATAGTGAGTTCAAGACCAGCCTGAACCACACAGCAAGACCCTGTTTTAAAACAAACAAAACAACACCTAAAACTCTAAAACACTTTAAAAAAACACATAAGAATGGAGACTCCTGGAACTAGGGCTATACGAACAAAGGCGAGGAGAGGGTATGTGTCAGGGCCTGAAGCCTGGCCAAAGTCTTCCTGTCAACCATTACACGAGGCTGAAATGCACTGAAGGTGTTTAACAATTTAATTCTCCTGCGCATTTAATTTCTTCTACTTTATTTTAAAAAGGAAAAAGAAAATGATTTAAAAATTCTCTTCCAATGGTCCTTCTGAATGTAGGATACTAGGGAATTTGGATCAACTCTCCTGCTGAGGACATTTTGAAACTCTGAACAAAAACAACAACAACAAAACCCCTCGACACTGGGGAGAAAAGAAGAGTAAAAAATTATTGAATTATGCCAGGGATTTAGCTCAGTGCTTCTGGTGTCTGCCTCTCAATTGCAAGGTCAAGAGTTTGATCCCTGCTACCAAAAAAAAAAATAAAAAAATAAAAAAATTATTGAATCAGAGCAGCCAAGGGAGATGGCCAAAAGCCTTGTGTTTGGATTCTATTTTTAACATTCTGAAGTAGAATAGTTGTGAAATGAAGTGGGTTTCTTTTTTATGTTTGTTTTGGTACCGGGGATTGAACTCAGGTCCTTGCGCTTGCGCACCAGACAGCGAAACCACTGAGCTAAATCCCCGGCCCTGAAGTGGGTTTCTGATCATCTCAAAAGCATAATGGTTCAGGGTACACCAAGGGACAGGGCTCTGTAGTGAACCCAACTATTTTGGGGTTGTGGCCACAAAGTACTATACCTTACAGGACAGGCCTGTCAAGGTCAGAAGCTAAGATCTCAGTCATTTTCGTCCCTAAAAACAGATAAAGGTCTTCAATCATTTCTCTAGTTTTTCAAATAAAGAGTACCATTCCACTAAAAAGTAGGGAGGCATGAGGAGACCAAATAACATGAATAAAGATTAGCAAAGACAACAAATAATTTTTTAAAAGGACCACAGGGCTTTTTTTTTTTGGTACAAAGGACTGAACTTGGGTCCTTGCGCCTGTGAGGCAGGTGGCAGAACCACTGAGCTAAACAAATCCCTGGGCCTACACAGGGCTTTTGATACAGAGTCACAAATACAAACTTTTAAATGGCCATGCTTATAATATTGGAGGAAATTAAAGACAAATGAGGATTTTGGTAGAGAATTAGGTCTATTTTTTTTTTTTTTTTGGTACCAGGGATCAAACCTCGGGTCCTCGCGTTTGCAAGGCAGGCGGCAGAACCACTGAGCTAAATCCCTGGCCCTAATTTGGTCTATTTTTTAAGAGATGCATGGACATTCCAGAATTTAAAAATATATATAGTATACTTACTGACATAAAAAATGCAATGGAGTCTGGAATCTCTAATCAGAACTTTAGGGAAGAAACTATACAAAATGAAGCAGAGACACACAAACATGGCTAATACAGACGGGAGAATAAAGACATCCAGAAATCCTAGTAATAATTTGAACCCTAGGAGAAGGAGAAAGAGATGATGAGGCAGAAGTGATAAATTAAATGCTAAGAATTTCTCCAAATGAATGGAGTTGAGAAAGCTTAATAAGTGAGAAAGGTAAGAATTGACCAGCTAGGTACGTCACAGTTAAACCAAGGAGAATAAGAAGATCCTAAAAGCTGCAATAATAAAATATATATTACCTCCAAGTAACCAATGATTAAACTCAGAGTTTGTCTCAACAAAAATAATCAAAGGTAGAAAACAATGGAGTATCTTTAAAGTGCAAAGAAAAAAGAACTTCAATCAAGAACTCTACAATGAAATAAAAAGATCCTTCAAGGATAAAGGCAAAATAAAGACATTTTCAGACAAACAGCAATCAAGAGAATTCACCACCACCATCTCTGCACTACAGAAAACACTAAGGCATATTCTTTAGATAGGAGATAACCTGGCATCTAGTTTCGAACATTCAGGTAAGAACGAGAAGCAATGAAAATAATAGATATGTGGGTACATCAAAATGAGTATTAGCTGTGTACAATGTATTAAAATATTCTGCTGAATTATATATATATATATGCATATACAAATAATTACACAAAAAACCCTAGAAGTAGTGATTTCCACATAATGCACATGAATTATAGCTTTCCTACTTAACTTTATCTTCTTTGATAACTCTAATTTAGTTCTAGATATACTTGTTCCCCCTAGGGCTGGGGATCTAATCCAGGGCCTTGTGCATGCTAAGCAAGTGATCTGCAACTGAGCTATTATTTCCCTAGACACACTTCTAGAATGACAGATTTTATCAAACCCATAAAAACATATATGTTTTTAGAAGGGATTCTCACAGCAAATTTCCACTGAAGCCTATCTCTGCTGTTGTGTAGGTGTATGAGTCAACACACAGGTATGTATTATTGGAACGAAAATGTCATTGTTCCGGGGTATTTTAATCATGTAGAGATAGCTAATTTTTAAGTGCCTACTACCTGTCAAACACATGTAGAGACTTTATAAAAAGTATTTTGTTTAATGCTCACAATATAACAGTGAGACAAGCAGTGCTCTTGTAATTTTAGAAATTTTACAAATAGTCTGAGAGATTAAATAAACTGTTTAATATCATAGCTCTTAGCTAATGAAATTGGGACTTAATCCTAATTTTTGGCCTGCAAACCCATTCTGTTTTTTCTATGTCTCCAGGCCTCTGCTTCCCGTACATAAAGACATCACAATACCACATTCCCACTACCCCAACAGTGGTGGTTCTGACTCAAAATAAGTAGGATCCAATGGTGTGAGCTCACAGCCTTGTTCCAAGGTACAGAAAATTGTGATATAGTATGCGCTTTATACCCACAATTCCAGCCAAGTGTGTGACAAGGCTGATGATGTTCAGTTTCAAAACATTTATATCATACATGTACCCATGTATGTTGAATCTCCTTTACCTGAAATGTGTGGGAGTGGAAATGTTTCAGATTTAGAAGATATGTGCACAAATGTCACAGGTTGAGTATCCTTAATCTGAAAATCTGAGGTCTGAAAAGCTCCAAACCTCCAAATTTGAAAATTATGTTGGTGCTCAGAAAGTTCCCAATTAGAGATGCTCGCCTGTATTTGTATATATGCATGTCAAATGTCCGTACCAGTTACAGAATCAGATGGGGATGCCCTCTGCATTCCAAGGGGGAGGACCAAGCTGGAATGGCTCCAAAGATCCTCTCCTAAACCTCTCAGAGCCATCAGCAACATACTCTGAGCAGAAGGAGCAAATCCTCTTTCAAGTGGGGATTATTTGGCTGCATTTCCAATTCATGAAAACCAAGTTCTCAAGTGTAAATATCTCTACCAGAAGAGTCTCTACCGGACTCACTGTTTGCTTGCAGAAGCCAGAGCTAACTGATATGCATTGTACTGGAAGCTTTATTTCCCAACTCATCAGCCACTCCTTCCACTTTGCATAATCAGGTGTATATGCAAAACAAGCACTTCGGAAGGGCAAGGGTGTACACCAGTACTATCAGCTACCATAATGATGTCCTCTCAGAGGTCTGATCAGATGCTCAGACTTGATGTGACCCACTAGCTTCCTGACATCACCTCCCCTATTTCCATAAATGGTACCCTGTTCCTCTGGGTGTTATGTCAAGGCCTCGGGGACTGCAATACATACTGCTCCTGCTGTCATACCACACACAGCCACATCATAAGCAAATTCTATCCTTTCCTCTTCTAAATATGCCCAGGCCATTTCTCTCACAGGTGGTAGCCAGGATCTCACCTGAAGAAGAAACTGCCATGAGCAAGCCTTTTATGGTCTGCATGCCAGCCCCTCCTCACTACACCATAATAGTAGTCTCCTTGTTGGCTGTTTAACACCAGACTCTTACACCTCCTGGTCTGCGGACCCCA